AAACACAACTGTGTGGTTAATTAAATTGAGCTCCCATTGTTGTTGAGAACACCGGAGAGAGAGGAAGCTTTCCCATCAGAATGTGCGGACCTGTCTGGGGCTCTCCTCAATCCACTGAAGCTCTTTAAAGATAAGTCTGCATAATGTGCTTTTCCTTTGATGCCCCCCAAGTGTGTGGGCTGCGACTGTGTAGCCTGACAGGTGTGTGAATGTCATCCCAAGCACTGAGCTGCTGCTTAAGCTACTCCAGAAGAAATGGCAGCTATGGACTGCCATAGACAGAGCCTATGTTGTTCAACAGAACCTTTATCTTGAGACTTTATATATAACTGTGAACTGGAGTCACATATACAAGCAGAAAGTCCCAGCCACCAGCTTGATGTGACAAGTTCACGGAAGAAATTTCTCTAATAAATGAGTCTAATAAATTTCTCTAATAAAGGCAGTTCCACTTACATTCAGTGGAGCTGAAAGAGAAAGCAGTCTAGGAGCGAAATTCCCAAAGAAGAAAATCGGAGAGCAGCATTTTCATCTGTCAGAAATGGGTGAAGCCTTGTTTCTTTTTTTTTTTTTTTTTTTTTTTTTTGTAAGGAAGAAAGAGTTTATTTACATTTACAATTCCACAGCACAGGTCATCGAGGGAAGTCAGGGCAGGAATTCAAACAGGGCAGGAACTTGGAGGTAGAAGCTGATGGAGAAGTGATGGCTTGCTTTTTTTTATATATATATTACTCAGCCTACATTATTTTATTTTATTTTATTTTCAAAGTTTATTAAATTATAAAAGTTTCCATTTCCTCCCCTCCTCCCAACACCCTCCCACTCCCCCCACTCCCTCTCCTCCTCCCTCTCCATCCCTAAGAGCAGTCAGGGTTTCCTGCCCTGATTTTGGGGATCCAGTCTGTTTGGAAGCCTTGTTTCTTCTAACTACTTTTAGTATTTCACATGGTTCCTGGTTTAGATATACAAATATCCTAACATTTTTCTAATCAAATTCCCTCTCTTTGAGGAACCAATACAAGCACCATCTATAGGAAATCCAAGTTAAAACTGATCCATAGACTTGTTCCTTTGGCTTTAACTCAGCAGATCCAACCGAGTAACTGTTCACAGCACTCATTGTGTTGGGTTCTGTGAACACCCAACCTGAAGAGTATATAATGTGCCCAGAATAGTGGGGCAAGGATATGTGCAAAGATGATGTCGTTTCATAAGAGGGACATGAGAGTCTGTGGGTTTGAGGATGTTTGATAAGTACCCATTTCTTAAAGACAACAATGATACTGTGTGTGTGTGTGTATGTGTGTGTGTATGTGTATAAATACATATGCACACACATATACACACCACATGAATACCGCATGCATGTGTCTATTATATCTTTCCATGGAACTCCCAAACGTGTGATTTTTTTCTTTTTCTTTTATTCCCTTGGTCTTAAACTAAATTGTCCTGGAGACTTTTAATACTTGTTAGAATTAATTTTGCAATTTCTTATTTCTCTTGCTGTCCACTTTCCTCTACTACTAGGGTTGCCTGAGGTTAGCATCCCTTTTCTCATCCAATTGGTATTTCTAATGTTTCTAAGGTAATTAATTAACCTTTCGGTAAATATTGATATCAAATTGACATTCTAAGATAGAGGACAGGTTTGCTTTTCTTTTTTCCCTTCTCCCCCCGCCACCCTCAGAGACAGAGTTTCTTCTGTGTACTTGCTTTGTCCTGGCTGTCTTGGCACAAACTTTGTAGACGAGGCTGGCCTCGAACTCACAGAGATCTCTGTTCCCTGAGTGCCAGGATTAAAAGCGTGCACCACCTTTTAACAGGCAGTTTTTGTTGTTCACTTTAGGGTTTAGGAACCAGGTTAGTGTCTTTTTCTTTGAGTTAGATTTTGCTGCTGTTTTATTTATTTGTTGGTTAATGCTCATGTAGTCGGTAGTGACATTTATGGATAAATCATATCCAAACAAATATTCAAACACCTAAACAACGTTGCATAATTGTACTCTCAGTTTAGAGCACAAATTCTAGTTTTTAACATTATATTTAAAAAAAATTCCATTATAGAAAATATGGTTCAGACCTAGCATCCAGCAAATGGAAGCAGAAGACTCTCAAATTGGGCTACATAGCAAGACCCCAAATCAAGAAAAGAAGAAAGAAAAAGACTGTGAGCTGCCATGACACAGGTCACATTAAATTGTCATCCTCCTAGCTTGCTCCAGAGTGCCCCTCCACACAGAGGTGACTTCATGGGCAAAGTCCCTTTGCCCATTGCTCTGTGCCTGCATTCATCAATGCCACATTCTTGGGAGAGCACAGAGGAGGCAGAGGGGACTCTGCGGCTGTCTAATCGGCCCGGTTAAGCCTTTAAGCAGATAATGTAGGGGCTTACAGGCTGATATGAGGCAGGCGAAGCAGCTTATTCTTCATTTCTGAGCATTGTGTCAGGTGAATCAAGGGCAAGCAGTAACTAAATAAAAAGTCAGAATATCTATTTTATGTTTCTATACTCTGCTATCCTTATTACTGAAGTAGAGCATTTGATTACTGTTAGGGATTTTGGAGACCCAGTAATAAAAATATCTTCCATTTCTGTTTGGATTGAGCACATCAATCAAGCAGAAAGGGACAGACAAGGGAGAGCAACCTTAAGCCCCCTTATTTATGCGCTGTGTGTCACAGTTCTGAAGCTCACTTCTCGGACGACACTTGAGAAGTCACTGAAGGCACTGCTCTGGAGCAGACTGGGGTGTAGATTTCCAGCCAGGAGAGGAGGAATGGACCTGGGGGCTTGCTCTGCGTCCCCTGCATACTTCTTACTGGCTGATGTGTCCATGAGCCTGGCCTTCCTGGAGTTAACGCTGGGATGTTTTCAGGCAGCAGGATACAACTAGGGAGTCTGCATGTGCTGACACGGAGAAGAGACATTCTTAAGTCTCAGAAGTACATAGAACATTTCAAGTCCATTGTTGGTTGTCCTATCTGTCTGCCAGGCCTTGTGTAGGCTGTATCGTTGGACTTTATCTCATCCCATCCCAGTCCCAACACCAGGCCCCCAGACAACATTTTTAAAGGATTGGCTCTAAACATTGTCCTTTCTGTTTTATGAAAGAGGAGAGTAAGTCTTAGTGAAATTATTTAATTTGCTCAAAGTATTGTAATTACAAATATTGAGAGTCAAATCTAGACCTGTTGTTCATGAAAATCCTTCCCACCCGGGTATTTTGAATGTTAAGAAATCAAATGACATTAATCCAAGCAAATTAGATAATTAGATTTTTTTTTTTTTTTAGTTGAAAACCACTCTGAAACTGTGTGGTGGGAATTAGGTGACTCACTGATATAAAGTATAGAGTATAGCTTCTTTTAAACTTTTTTACTTTGAAATAATTTTAGACTTACAGAAAAGATGCAGAAATAACACAGAGATTTCCCATCGGGCCGTTCTTGGCTTCCCTTCCTGTTAGTCTCTTACATAAGCATGGCGTAATTACTGAGATGGGGAATTGATGCTGTTACAGAGCTAACTAAACTGCGAGCTTTACTCATTTCACCTTACTGCTCACTTCTGGCTCTGCAGCTTTTTTTTTTAAGGGCAGGGATGCTATTTTAGGGATTTTCATAGCCCAGTACGTGATGGGAAGTCTGACTGAGGGATGATGCCCACTGACTGCAGAATGGGTAGCTCAATGAACGGGTTTTCAGTCACACTACAGCTTGGGAATCCTTGTGTGGATTTGTGTCACATGGGTGTGAAGCACATGAAGATACGCTGAGGCTTTGACTGAATGCTTCTATAGAACTGAATTCCACCTTAGGCTCAGTGATGATGACATTTTTGTTTTTGTTTTTACTATTCTCTCATACATTATAGCCCATGACCCCTCTTCCTTTCTTTCCAGTAACTCCCCACACTTCCCTTCTCCCTCAGATCTACTCTGCCTCTTTTATTTCCCTTCAGAAAAGAGAAGGCCTCCCAGCAATATCAACCAAACATGTCAAAACAAGTTACAGTGAGACTGGGCACATCCCCTCATATCTAGGTTGGATGAAGCAACGCAGTAGGAGAAAAGGGGTCCCAAGACCATGGAAAAAGAGTCAGAGAAAGCCCTTCCTCCCCCTGTTGGGAGTACCTCAAGAATGTCAAGCTACACACCATTATATATATATATATATATATATATATGCAAAGGACTTAGCTCAGACCCATACAGGCACCCTGTTTATTGATTCAGTCTCTCTCATGAGGCCTTATGAGCCCTGGTTAGTTAATTCTGCAGGCCGGCCCTGTTCTTTGTGCTGTTCTCATTCCCTCTGCCTCCCACAATTCTTCCTCACCCTCACTTGGGGTTGAACAGAGTTTTAGAATTGTGAAAATACTTCAATGTAAAGGAGGGTGATTGAACAAGATGAAAGAAAAGATGTCACAGTGCAATCTTCCAACTGGACAGAAAGGTTCCCCCCTCTCTCTCTCCCCCTCTCTCGTGCGTGTGTATGTGTGTGTGTGTGTTCTCACATTAGCAAGTGAAGGAGCCAGTGGTTTCCAGGCTGTCCTGCATTTCTAAGCAGACTGAACACAAATGTTAACCCAAACTGCAGAAGCTCCCATGCTAAAGAAAAGTCCACGCAGATTGTTCCCAGGCATCCGCTTGCTCTTGGACCGAGTTAAGCTAAAATGAGATGATGTGAATCTGCCAACAGTGCTTGTGTACCCGGTTACTATTTATTCCCACTTTTTAGAGCCAAAGACTATGTAACCTGCAATATTAAACCACAAAATCCTCATCACTGGTTTAATGCACCCCAAAGACTCTTTCCCCACTTCTTACCCTTTTCCTACTTTCCTTGGCAAAACTTAAAAATATTAATGCAATAAATTACAGAAAGGCAAGGATGTAGAATAATTCTTCATTAGGCAAAGCTAGAGTTCAAAAATTACGAAACAGCAATTTCCTCCAAAATTCAACTTTCAACGTTTTCTCTATTTTATCATTTAGATGGAAGATGTCATAGCACGCATGCAAGATGAAAAAAACGGAATTCCCATCCGCACTGTCAAAAGCTTCCTTTCCAAGATACCTAGTGTCTTCTCTGGTAAGTGTGCATCCAGCACAGCTCTGCTTTCTTCAGTGTGTGTTTCATAAACCTCTGGTGTGTTGTTAAGCAGCAGCTAGTAAGACACCATGACACCTTCATCATGGTGTTTAGAACCTGGAAATGAGTGTAAGACAGGACGTGAACCAAGAGCCCTAAAACCGATACGGGGTCACTTGAAAGACAGAATGAACACATGTGAAGAAAGAGAAAAGAACATCAGGAAAACAAGTAGTGATGTGTAAAACAATGCAAGGCAGACGAGAAGTAGAAGTTGAGAGAGTGGCAGGCAATCAACGAGAAATCAGAGAAGGAGTCTTGAAGCACAGCATTGCTTGGCATTGGTAAAGCCAGGAAGGATCTGATCACCAGGAACCACCCCCCCCCCCGACGTTTACCATGCTGAGAACTGGGCAGTGACACAGCCAACAGGTGGGGAAGCGAGCACGAGTGGTGGGGGCTCGAACTCGTGTCTCTAAAAGCCAACCACAGGACTGAGATTCCGACGGACTGGAGCGATAGGGAGCTTTTAAATGTTTGTGTAGAATGCTGAGGTAAGAGGTTTGGAGAGAGGCTTTTGGGTGTACAGGCCTGATTACACATACTAAATTTGGCTCTTCATAACCCATGTCAAAAACTGGGTGCGGGGTATGCCTGAAACACCAGCCTTGTTGGGGGAGGAATGAAGTAGAGACAGGAAAATTCCTGAGCCTTGTAAGCCAGTCAGTCTGACCTAATCATGAGCTTCAAGTTCAGTAATCAACTCTGTTAAAGATGGACAACAATGAACCAAAGTTGAGAGAGAGAGAGAGAGAGAGAGAGAGAGATGAATATTATAATGTGTTATAGTATATGGGTATGCTAAAGATGTTGAGCATTTTCTTAAGTGTCTTTCAGTCATTTTAGATTCATCTGTTGAAAGTTTTGTTTAGGTCTGTACCCAATTTTTTATTGGATTATTTGTTCTTTTGATGACCAATTTTTTGAGTTCTTTGTACATTTTGGAGACCAGACCTCTCTCAGATATGGGGCTGGTAAGATCTTTATCCATTTTGTAGGCTGCTGTTTTGTCTTGTTGATCATGTCCTTTGATTTACAGAAGCTTCCCAGTTTCAGGAGGTCCCATTTATTATTTGTTTCTCTCAGTGTCTGTGCTGCTGGGGTTGTATTTAGGAAGTGGTCTCCTGTGCCAAAGCATTCAAATGTGCTTCCCACTTTCACTTGTATGAGGTTCAGTGTTGTTGGTTTTATGTGGAGGTCTCTAATTTACTTAGACTTGAGTATGTGTGTGTGTCAGTGTGGGTGTTTCAGATAAATATCTTCTCTTATATCTGTGGCTTTAAGACCAAAGGGGGAATCTTTGGACAGGTCTTCTAATCTCGCCACGACAGGAGTGGCACTGTACAGATCCAATTACAACATTGTATTTGTCTCTTACTGATTTTTTTTTCAGTTGCAGAAATACCACTATAAGTTTGGTACGTATGGCTACCAACTAGAGTCTGAATTGTTAACCCCTTCAGTCCTGAGAATTCTGTTAAGCTTCTTAAATGACAGTATAGAAATAATGGTGAGGAGAAAGGGAAAGGGAGAGGGAAATGGGGGAGAGATTATGATTCATCATGCATTTGGGGCATAAAAGGCATAAGGAGATATTGACCTGCAGGTAGAGTAATGGCCCTGTGCAGAGAGGACAGGAAGCCTGCACACTGAGAACAATAAAACAAGTGTGGAAAAAGAAGCAGAGAAAATGAGGAAGGGCATTCCTGGTCCCTGGCAGCTTTGTAGCTCTTGCCATAATCCTTGGGGACACAGACTACAGTTCCTTTGGGTGCTTCATCTTCCTCTTTTCATCCATCTTCTGCCATCAGACATCAATCAACCTTTGTGTACCCATGCGCACTACCTCTTTTTTTTATTTTAAGCTTTTCACACATTAGGATTCTCATCAGACACGGGAGCACTCTTCCATAACCCATACAGTAGATCCAACAGCCTTATGGGTACAAAACCATAATGAGAATGAAAAGAACAAGTAAATATGATTATAAAAGAGGGATTGGCTGCTTGGGTGGGACCAAATGCTCATCTGGAATGTGCAAATCTCCAATGGATGGAGACAAAGGAGAGCCTGTGGGAATGCAAGTTTCCAAACACATATTGTAGATATCCCGATTTGTTAGGACTGAGATGCAACATCAGCATTTTCAAGCTGTTAAGTTCTACATTGATGTCCTCTGTTAACTTAAATGCATATTAGCAATGTTTTTCTCTAGAAATTTTGATCAAGCGAACAGACTCTAATCAAACACACACTATATTTCAGCTACTCCTCAGCACTGGTTTGCAACTGTCTTAATGCTGAGACCCTTTAACACAGTACCTCATGTTGTGGTGACACCCCTAACCATAAAATTGTTATCATAACTATAATTTTCTATTGTTATGAGTCATTAATGTAAATATCTCATACATAGGAAGGTCTTAGATGATTCCTGGCTTGTGACCCACAGGTTGAGAACTGCTGGTTTATTAAGGATTAATATTTTAATTGCACTAGAAAAAATACATTACACGAAACATTCAGGTGATGTCACAGACTAAAGTGGACCATTTTAGTAGAAGTTTGAAAAGTCATTTGTCCAATGAAGCCTATTACTTTGTATACTGATTTTAAAAAGACAATAAAAATTAAAATTTAAAAAGTCAGTTGTGAAGAGAGAATTATCCAAAGGCTAGTACTATCCAATTTGATTTGGCAAGAATCCTGCCAAGTTGTTTGTCATAGTCCCAAGGCCCAAAGTGAGCATGATAATTTGCTATTTTCTTATCTTTTAAAGGATGCTCTCAAAATGTTCACTTCATGGTTTCTATGCTGCTTAGAACAATACAGAGAAATAAATTTACCCTGTAATAAACTACTGGGAAAATAGCATATTGGAAGATAAATGTGACTCCACTCCCTTCTTTTTCTTAAACAATACAACTATAATTTCATTTTATTCTTTCTCGTCTTGAAGTTCTTTGGTAAATTTAATATTCTATTCATAATTTTGCACATGACTCGTTACTTATCTACTATTTTTGACTTGTTTATTTTTTCTTTGATTTATTGAGGAAAGAGTCTCACTCTGCAGTCCAGACTGGACTCATAGTGACCCTCTTGCCTCAGCCTCCTGAACTATAGGCCTGAGCGACCTCAAAAATTACTATGATTATCTATGTGTGTGTATATATATATGTGTGTGTGTGTGTGTGTGTGTGTGTGTGTGTGTGTGCATATATATATTTGCAGTACTGGCGCTTGAATCCAGGACCTGGCACATACTAGTTCCAGAGCGCTACCACTGAGCGTTACCCCAACGTCCCTTGTCATCTATTGTTGCATTTGTCTGTGTGTATGTATGTGTACTTGTGTATGTGTGTCTTCATCAACTTCTTGCCCATGTTATTTTTTGAGGCAAGGTCTTACCCTGAACCGGGAGCTCCATATTCTGGCTGGGTTGGTGTATTGGTGAGCACCTGGCATCTCTCTGTCTCCTTCTCTCTTGCATTAGGGTTACAAGCCTACACTATGCCTGGATGTTCTCCATGATTTCTAGGGACCAAACTCAGATTCTCATGCCTGTGCAGCAAGTATTTTACCCAATAAGCATCTCCCCAGCATGTCTGCCTTTTATTGCCTTAACTGGGTATGTGGGAGCGCTGGGATGTGAGCACAGTGGATTGTTTCAGGTTATATGTAGGAGACACCTGAGATGAATTCTGAGACAGTACCTGAGAAGTGTCGGCTGTGCTTCCGGGAGTAATTTTTGCTCAAATCCTTTGCAGTTCAAGTAGGGTGATCTACCTGGACTTTTGTTATACATTCTCCATTACAATATAAAATGAAACTCAAATATTACTGAGTATGTTTTATTAAATGTTTACTCAAATTTGTACCATTGTTTTTGCAGATTGAAAAAGATAACTGTAAAGTTAAAGGCATATATGTAGCATTTTTTCTGACATTTTCTTTAAATGAATTTTATAGGCCCCAGTCTGCATGGAAACAATAACCCTAGAATTCATATCCTGTGACTTATGGTGTTCATTCTTCTCACATCTGACATCTGTGGTGGGGAAGTGCATGGCCCTGTTGTCAGTTGAAAATGCTTCCTATTAGACTCTGAAGGGCAGGACAATAGAGACCCACATCCCAAACAGAGCAGAAAAGCTATGAATGCTAGAGGAGAAGATTGATCTCACATTTTAAAGATATTTGTTTGTTGTGATAGTATTTTACAACCGTGCTATTTTACCTTGGCCACATGCATGCTTGAAAGAATCAAAATTGACAACAGAAGTAGGTACTCTGTTGTTTAACAAGCTGTTGAAATAATATATTTTTATGCTTTTTCTTAGAGAATACATTGCATTATAAGAAGAGTGAGTATTATTTGAGTGTATATTTTTGGCTCATATAATCATGGGTGCTTTGGAGGCTAAGGGTCTAATAAGTTTACAATACATAATGGTCCTTAGAACCCATAAGAGGAATATTTGCTTTGTTAGATTTATAATGTGTTCATAGAATTTGAATAAGCCTCTGAGGTCTGTTCTGCTCCCATTTATTTGAGACACAGTGCCACTCCCTGTGTGCCCAGGTTGATCTCATATTCTCTATCTCCTCCTCTCAGTCTCCTGAGTGCTGGGATTGCAGGACTTCACCATCCCCTCCCTCAGCCTCCTGAGTGCTGGGAATGCCTGGACACCATTCTCTTTGCTTTGTTTTTAATGATAGCAATTTATCTTCGTATTGACTTTGGCATAAATATTAATCAGTAATTTAAAAAAGTGTCACATAGTTAGGGACTGTAAATACATTAATTTATTTCTTAAGATATTCAAAATAATGAGTTTGTTTCATAGCAAAGGATTTGGAAGGTCGGGAAGTTCAACCTTTCGTCTATTTCTGTCTTGTATGCTAATATTTAATCTATAAGGGAACCGATTTTGAA